GGAGAGGAGGTATAGATTGGACATCCGCAAAAACTACTTCACAGTTAGGGCGGCTAGGAGCTGGAACCAACTTCCAAGGGAAGTGGTGCTGGCCCCTACCCTGGGGGTCTTTAAGAAGAGGCTGGATGCCTACCTGGCTGGACTCATTTGAGTCCCGTTTTTGTTTTGGGGTTTTGTTGTTCTCCCGCCCTGGTGGGGGATCGGGCTAGAAGATCTACTAGGTCCCTTCCGACCCTAAATCTATGAAACTATGAAAACCCGTACATTTTGACTTCCTGATGGTGACATGGATGCCAGCTTCAAGGCATGCTATGCAGAACCTCAGAGCCTTTTCTGGGTGACCCACTCGCGCTCATCCCTTTACAGCCTTCCATAATGCCCTGGAGTACCCTTTTCCAACCATGTCTTTCTCTCCCTGTTCTCCAGACTTCGTTTTATGGACGATTCCGGCACTTCTTGGATATCATTGACCCACGCACTCTCTTCGTGTCTGAGGTAATGAATGTACACATCTTAATCTCTGAAAGTACCATTTCTTAGATGGGAACATAGGACCTGGGGGGGGGCCCTCCAGGGCCATTGTGTCCTTTGAGTTTGGTTTAAAAGAAAATGCTTAAATGCAAGAGTTGAAATCATCAGTGGTGTTCCCTTAATAAGGGCCCCGTTGTATCAAGTGCTAAGGATGTCATTGGGGTGTAGGTTGTCATTGGGTGCTTAGCATGATTCAGGATTGTTCCATAATGGCACAAAAGCCAGGAAATTGAATCCAGTTCTTCCTGTCCAGCCTGCTGAAGTAAAAATACTTGTTACATACCTCACCTAGCTATTTAAGGTTCTCCAACAATGAGGGAAGATCTGATGTGACATTCCTGGTGGTTTTAAAAGGTTAAAAAAAATGTAGAAAACTGCTTCAAGACGTCTTGCAAGAGGAGCACAAATCCACCTTGATGAAATCTGTTACAGTTATTTGGGAGAAGTGCCTGTACAAAATTAATTGTAGTGATCCTTGTCGATCATTTGTGACTCCAGATCCAATTAAATTTGCTTTGAGAGAGAGAAAAAAGCTGTGCTTGCTTTGTCATTCCCACAGATTCAGCCAGGGATCTGCAACTCAAATGAGGTCTCTGCTGGGTCGTGCATCATTGCCTGAAATAAATGTTCTGCAACTGGAGCTTAGTTAACAGTGCTGCTGATGCTGTGTGAGTCAGAACAGAAAGTAGATCACACCCCTAGTAAAAAAAGGTATTTTTTGCCATTCAAGTTAACAGATGTAGCTATGAAGATGCACAGGATCAAATCTTTTTTTGAGTATGAAACTGGCACTTCTACATAGTAATTATCCTGGTTAACTTTTCTGGCTCATGTGTATTTAATTTTATATTGACACGGACTTTTTTGCATATAACATTTCATAAATGTTAATATATTTTTTTCATAAGAAATGTTTCTAATTGGTTTACCTTAAGCAGTGCCGTATGCCACTGTTTAAAGGATGAGATGATGAAAAATGCATACTTTTTTTTTCAGTGGCAACTACTCTGCTATCCAATACAAGATATAGATATAGGTATATATTTAATTTTCAGCACCTGGTACAGGGGTACCTTGTACATTAGCAGCTAAACTATCCATTAGTGTCCATGGTGTGCCTTAGTTGTTTGTCTTTTTTCATACCCTGATGAAAACATACCTGGTAGGCTTTTAAATGTTCTTCTAGAATTGATCGGCTTTCTTCAAAAACATGAGGCTAAGATATATTGGAAAGTTCCTCTCCTTTGGATGTTTGCCCAAGAACACCACAGAGAATAATACTGCAGCTCTCGTGCTATAAAATTGAAGATTATAGCTTCACTTATACAAACACAAGTTCAAATGAAATATGAAATCAATTTTCAGAAGTCGATGTTCTCTGTGTGGAATGCTGTCCGTGGAAATAACCTGCTAGAAAGAGAGAGTTTCAGCTCGCATGGAGATTTCTGCAAGCCATTGAACTAGCAAGATAAAATGGACTGAAAGAGAGGATGACTTGAAAATTCAGTGAAACTTGAGTTGTTGTTTAATGGGAATGTAAGCAGTAGATAAAAACCCCTTCAAATGATGGGCCTGATCCTGTGGCTGTTTTGCACCAAAGTTTGTGTTAATAGATGCAAAGTAATGCATGCTGCAAGGATTCCTTTTCCCATGTGCATTTGGGAATGAGTTGGGAATTGTGTGCAAGTTCTGAATTCCAGTTTGACTCTGTGAACTCCTCACATGTGATTGTCTCCACAAGCAAAATGGAGTTTGCAAAGAAAGCACCTTTTCTGCTGTCTCTTTACCTCTCCCTATGATGAAATGCTGAGCTGTGGTATTGAAGGGCTAAGCAGTCTTCCCAAATGGGTGGGTAGCTGATGGGGTCAGCTGGACTGAAGGGGTCATCTGATCAAGGGGACTGGGCATTTATAAAGAAGAAACTTTCCCATTAGCTGTTTCTTATAGAGAAGGATACCAGAAGCAGAAGGCATTGTGATCCTTAAGGTCAGCAGAGAGCATCCTTCTGCCTGTACCATCTGTGCACCAAGTTCACGTGGCCAGAGTACATGCGAGGTTGTTCCTGGTACTTGCTCCTCGGCTTTGCAACTTCCTCCTCCTTAAAGCCCACCAGAGCCCGAACCTAGACTTTTTTCATAGGTGGTGTAAGGTGTGGCTCAGGCAGGCTGACAGGGGATATTGTTTGGGAAACTGCTTTCTCATGTGGCTTATCTGTTTTTATGACTTATCTTGTTTTTATTACTCCTGAGCCTTTTCTGGGGATGGTGGCATAGGAATCAAATAAATAAAGGATGTGCAGAAAGAGAAGCTATGAAAGAGATGCGGACTTCAACACCCAAGAGGACTTTATTCAAATCCCAGAGAGTGCTCAAGTGCTAAGGAGAATGAGTCAGGGGTGTTATGTAGGTGTGTGATCATCTTGTCTAGACTTGTATCTTATCTCTCCTGTTCTCTCAAGTAGACCTTGGCAGAGTCTGTGTGCTTCAACTGGCATGTCCCTGGAGTAGTTAGCTGTAGACCAGAGTGCTCATATGGGTATTGCTGTAGGAAATGGCATGCATAAGGAACCAAACTGGGGGAGTATTGGGGGAATCGGCTCTGACTTGGGGGGGTAGCCAGAGGCAGAGGAACCATGAGGTCCCATTTCTGTGCTGTGGTAACAGTTGGTGCCCAAAACTAGTGTTAGACAGGCCAAAGAAAAAGACTGTATAAGAAGTGGAAGAGCACATGGCTTCAGTGTCCTGGGACTCGGACACAGCAGCCTGGTCCGTGCCCAGCTTTGGAAACTCTTGTCAAGTCAGGTCTGAGACCTGTGTTACTGCATGTGCTTTGGGAAACTCACACTGGGAAGGATTTGGATGAACTAAAAAGACATGTGGCTCCTTATTTGCTTGTCTAAGTAAAACCAGAAATGGACCCAAGAAATCCAACTCCTTCTACCCCTCAAACCATTAAAAGAAAAAAAAAAAAAATCCAAAACCTCTCTCTATATTGTGTGTGTATATATAGTATATAAACTATATATCTCTATATTTCTATATATCTGAACATGCACATAAAAGGAAATTGAATTAAGCTCCCAACTTTTAGAAAGAAGTCCCTAGCAGGATTTCCTTTTACTAGTTGTAGCAAGGTCCCCTAATTCCTGCTGTTTAGCAACTAGGAGGGTAGCCTTGGAGAGCTGCAGTGCAGAATAGGCTGCTAAGGAAGGGTCAGCTGCAGAGAAAAGCATCAGAGCAGGTGCAGAGAAGAGCTTCAGGCAGGTATCTGTGGCAAGATGCCCTTCAGTATGCTACAAAGGCTGTGCTTTGGCAAATGGGTAAGCTTTGAAGCAAATGGATGACAGCTGGGCAGGCTGCAGGAGGAGTAATGGGCTAAACAGAAACCCCTGGATCAGTCCGAGGTCAGGTGCCCAGAAAGGGGTGGAGGCCAGGATGCTTCAAGCCTAGGTTCAGGGCCAGGTGGTCAGTCTGGCCCTGAGCTGGAGAGAGGAAAGCACTCCTGAATGTTGCTGAGAAGGCAGCGGACCGAGCTAGCCCAGGGATCCAGGGAAACTGGAACCTGCTGGGACCTGAAGCCTCAGGAGACCAGAGGTTTGAGTGCACCTGATAGGTGTGGAGACCATGAGTGGGGTGCCTGGTGGGGCTTTCCATGTCATAAAGGTCAAAAGCCCAGATAGAGCCCTGCCAAGGTCCTGCATACGCTAGTGTTGAGATGGGGCCAGGGGTCTTGTGTGTGGGTCCTGTGCGATGGGGCTGATGCCTAGATGGAGCCCTGCAAGGATCTGGGACCCAGCGGGCTGTGTGTGCTAGAGCCAAGATGGGGCCAGGGGCCCAGTGCATAAGGAGAGAGGGGGCTGAAGCAAAGACACAGCCTTGCTTGGGCCTGGGACCCAGCAGACTGTGTGGGCCAAAGCCAAGCAGTTCATCAGCTGAGGGTAATAACCCAGAAAGTCGGGGACTTGAGGGCTGAGACCAGGCTAGGGCCAGAGGGGCTGGGGTAGGCAATTATTTGGGTTGAAGGGGTACTTAAGGAGTTTTGGTGAACTGTTGCAGGCTGGCAGAGAGTGCTGACCCAGCCCTGGACTGGGGTGGGTAATTGATTCTGCCTGGCCCCAGTCCTGTCTGCTTCACACCCACTGCTGAGGCTGTCAGGCAGGGTTTGCATGAAGACTGCCCCAGGACCCCTGCGTGTAGGCTGTGTTTGGGTAGGTGGATGGGATGCACCCTCAAGCAGGCGCAAAGCAGAGTCTGGGAATGGGACTGGTGGGTGGGGGTTGGGATCAGGTTGTGGCGACAGTGCAGAGCCAGGTCCCAGGGCAGGGCTGTGATATGCTCCTCTTACGTCCCTGCCTGCAGAACTGGTGCCCATTGCAGGGATGTGTGGGGAGCAGTTTGCAAGTTTGCCCTGGGTCCTGGCCCCATGCTGTCACCACTCCGTAATCCCAGCCCTGCCCCCTGCCCACCTCTCCTACTCCTGGATGCTGCTCCCCATCTGCCTGCCTGCTCTGTATGGCTGCCTTGGTGGTGGATGCAGGGTAGACAGGCCATGGTGCCCAGGCAGCGGGGTCAGGTCTGGTGGTGGCAGTAGAGCTGACAGTGGTACCCGAGGGATCTGCCATAGGCTGGATCCAGTCCATGTGCCATATTTTGCCCACCTCTCACGTAAGGGAATATATGCAAGGTATGGAGTGGCTTTGAGGGAGGTGGGGGCAGGTGGCCACATTTCAAGCCATTAAGGCAATTAAGGCCAGGACGGCAATGACTGGGGCAAGTAAACCAGTACAGCTATGTTCCAGAAGAGGCCAGAGTTATCTTTAAATCAACCCCCCCTTTAACGTCTCTTGCTGTCCAAAGAGATATCCCATCCCTCTCTGAGTCTCCTGAAGTTTGGCCTGCAGGCTGGACTGATTTAAGTTAATCAGATCTAAATCATTGATTTAATATGGTGATTTAAAAGCCTGA